TATTCACAGATCAAGAAAGCTGCCTGTATGTTTCAGCAAAAGCTTCTTCTATCAGAGAGCTATAAGGGAGCAAAGCAGCTTAACAGCGACGTGGTACTCATCAAATCAGCCGAGCACAATGCAATTATGACTCAGGACGACTACGGTCTCAGAGAGGTAATAATATATCAAATTTAAATAAGCCAAAATATGTTAATTAACAGACTCTGTAGATTTGCAGCGCTCCGATCGATATGCATGTTGTTGCAGGCACCCATAGGACATTTCTCAAGGAGGCCCAAACGTTAAAAATCATGGAACGTGTTTTACACAAACACTCGTGTTAGCTGCTTCATTTATTTAATAATAATAAATTTACTTAAATACATTATTTTTAATTAATTTTGTATAACTTGTAATTTTGTATTAGCTTTTTTTTTATTTCTTTGATTATTCAATGCGCGGCCAGTCTCTGTATGACCCACAAAACTGTCAACATTGTTCTGATAAGAAATAAGTTAATATTATGATACATACTTACATAATTGCGTGCATGTAAATAACATTACTAATAAAAGCCCTTTTAACAGTGCAACATTTTACATACGAGTATACTTTATATACATATGTATATACCAACACATATGCAATAATTCATAAGACTAAGTCTTTGGCTGACTTAAGCTTAACAGAAGGCGCTCAAGAAAACATGCACAGAGATCTTTGAGATCTTTGTAAAGCTTTGAATATGAGTTTTAGGCAAATCGGACAAAACCTAAAAACAAGAACCATGTTGCCCGATCTAGTTGCCAAATTTATCTTAAGGCCAAACCACGAAAACATAACCAAACCTTATGAAAATCGGATGAGATTTGACCGAGATATGAGGGGGGGAAATATTGACCTACATCTATATAGGATATTTGAGGGTACTATTTTGACATGAATTTTGACCAAAAATGATGTTGCCAGATTTGGATGCAGAATTGATAATGAGGCCAAATCATGAACAAAAAGCCAAACCTTATGAAAATCGGATGAGATTTGACCGAGATATGAGGGGGGAAATATTGACCTACATCTATATAGGATATTTGAGGGTTCCATTTTGACATGAATTTTGACCAAAAAATAATGTTGCCAGATTTGGATGCAGAATTGATAATGAGGCCAAATCATGAACAAAAAGCCAAACCTTATGAAAATCGGATGAGATTTGACCGAGTTAGGAGGGTGGGAAATATTGACCTATGTCTATATAGGATATTTGAGGGTACCATTTTGACATGAATTTTGACCAAAAATGATGTTGCCAGATTTGGATGCAGAATTGATAATGAGGCCAAATCATGAACAAAAAGCCAAACCTTATGAAAATCGGATGAGATTTGACCGAGTTAGGAGGGTGGGAAATATTGACCTATGTCTATATAGGATATTTGAGGGTACCATTTTGACATGAATTTTGACCAAAAATAATGTTGCCAGATTCGGATGCAGAATTGATAATGAGGCCAAATCATGAACAAAAAGCCAAACCTTGTGAAAATCGGATGAGATTTGACCGAGTTATGAGGGTGGGAAATATTGACCTATGTCTATATAGGATATTTGGGGGTACTATTTTGACATGAATTTTGACCAAAAATAATGTTTCCAGATTTGGATGCAGAATTGATAATGAGGCCAAATCATGAACAAAAAGCCAAGCCTTATGAAAATCGGATGAGATTTGACCGAGATATGTGGGGGGGGAAATATTGACCTATGTCTATATAGGATATTTGAGGGTACCATTTTGACATGAATTTTGACCAAAAATAATGTTCCCAGATTTGGATGCAGAATTGATAATGAGGCCAAATCATGAACAAAAAGCCAAACCTTATGAAAATCGGATGAGATTTGACCGAGTTATGAGGGGGGGAAATATTGACCTATGTCTATATAGGATATTTGAGGGTACTATTTTGAAATGAATTTTGACCAAAAATAATGTTTCCAGATTTGGATGCAGAATTGATAATGAGGCCAAACCACGAAAAAATAACCAAACCTTATGAAAATCGGATGAAATTTGACCGAGTTATGAGGGTGGGAAATATTGACCTATGTCTATATAGGATATTTGAGGGTACCATTTTGACATGAATTTTGACCAAAAATAATGTTGCCAGATTTGGATGCAGAATTGATAATGAGGCCAAATCATGAACAAAAAGCCAAGCCTTATGAAAATCGGATGAGATTTGACCGAGATATGTGGGGGGGGAAATATTGACCTATGTCTATATAGGATATTTGAGGGTACCATTTTGACATGAATTTTGACCAAAAATAATGTTCCCAGATTTGGATGCAGAATTGATAATGAGGCCAAATCATGAACAAAAAGCCAAACCTTATGAAAATCGGATGAGATTTGACCGAGTTATGAGGGTGGGAAATATTGACCTACATCTATATAGGATATTTGAGGGTACAATTTTGACATGAATTTTGACCAAAAATAATGTTGCCAGATTTGGATGCAGAATTGATAATGAGGCCAAACCACGAAAAAATAACCAAACCTTATGAAAATCGGATGAAATTTGACCGAGTTATGAGGGTGGGAAATATTGACCTATGTCTATATAGGATATTTGAGGGTACCATTTTGACATGAATTTTGACCAAAAATAATGTTGCCAGATTTGGATGCAGAATTGATAATGAGGCCAAATCATGAACAAAAAGCCAAGCCTTATGAAAATCGGATGAGATTTGACCGAGATATGTGGGGGGGGAAATATTGACCTATGTCTATATAGGATATTTGAGGGTACCATTTTGACATGAATTTTGACCAAAAATAATGTTGCTAAATTTGGATGCAGAATTGATAATGCAGCCAAATCATGAACAAAAAGCCAAGCCTTATGAAAATCGGAGGATATTTGACCATATTATGGGTGTGAGAAGTTTTGACCTATGTCTACATAGGATATTTGAGGGTACTATTTGGACATGAATTTTGACCAAAAATATTGTTGCCAGATTTGGATGCAGCATTGATAATGAGGCCAAATCATGAACAAAAAGCCAAGCCTTATGAAAATCGGATGAGATTTGACCGAGTTATGAGGGGGGGAAATATTGACCTATGTCTATATAGGATATTTGAGGGTACTATTTTGACATGAATTTTGACCAAAAATAATGTTTCCAGATTTGGATGCAGAATTGATAATGAGGCCAAACCACGAAAAAATAACCAAACCTTATGAAAATCGGATGAAATTTGACCGAGTTATGAGGGTGGGAAATATTGACCTATGTCTATATAGGATATTTGAGGGTACCATTTTGACATGAATTTTGACCAAAAATAATGTTGCCAGATTTGGATGCAAAATTGATAATTAGGCCAAATCATGAACAAAAAGCCAAGCCTTATGAAAATCGGATGAGATTTGACCGAGATATGTGGGGGGGGGAAATATTGACCTATGTCTATATAGGATATTTGAGGGTACCATTTTGACATGAATTTTGACCAAAAATAATGTTCCCAGATTTGGATGCAGAATTGATAATGAGGCCAAATCATGAACAAAAAGCCAAACCTTATGAAAATCGGATGAGATTTGACCGAGTTATGAGGGTGGGAAATATTGACCTATGTCTATATAGGACATGAATTTTGACCAAAAATAATGTTGCCAGATTTGGATGCAGAATTGATAATGAGGCCAAATCATGAACAAAAAGCCAAACCTTATGAAAATCGGAGGATATTTGACCATATTATGGGTGTGAGAAGTTTTGACCTACGTCTATATAGGATATTTGAGGGTACCATTTTGACATGAATTTTGACCAAAAATAATGTTGCCAGATTTGGATGCAGAATTGATAATGAGGCCAAATCATGAACAAAAAGCCAAGCCTTATGAAAATCGGATGAGATTTGACCGAGATATGTTGGGGGGGGAAATATTGACCTATGTCTATATAGGATATTTGAGGGTACCATTTTGACATGAATTTTGACCAAAAATAATGTTCCCAGATTTGGATGCAGAATTGATAATGAGGCCAAATCATGAACAAAAAGCCAAACCTTATGAAAATCGGATGAGATTTGACCGAGTTATGAGGGTGGGAAATATTGACCTATGTCTATATAGGATATTTGAGGGTACCATTTTGACATGAATTTTGACCAAAAATAATGTTGCCATTTTTGGATGCAGAATTGATAATGAGGCAAAATCATGAACAAAAAGCCAAACCTTATGAAAATCGGATGAGATTTGACCGAGTTATGAGGGTGAAAAAAAGTGATTGCCAAATTTTTGGCATGTTTGCTTGCTCTGAAGCTAAAATTTCCCATATTGTTGTTGCGAGTGTGCATGTATGTGTGTGTGCTTGTATTGTGTCCGTGTTGTGTTGTGTTCAAGTGTGCGCGTCAAAATCCATTAAACTGCATTTGCATACACACGCCGACAGGCGTAAATGTGTGCGTTAATGGCTGCCCCTACACACACATACGCCCGCTCTACGAGCTGTTATTTGGGCTACTCCAAATGTTAAGCGCTTGAGCTAAGCAGCAGAGTCAAATTGAGTTACTGTTGAAATACCGTTTTTTGACAACTCTGGCGAAACTTCTCATCCAAATCCAAAGCTCCAACTTCAAGAGCAGCTCCAGCCGGCAAACTCTCTGTCAAGAAAATGGCGCACAATTTGAATGCATGAATGAATGAATATCTGAGAGTACAATTTTTGCACGAATTTCGACCAAAAATAATGTTGCCTTATTCAGATGCCAAATTTCACCAAGGAGGAATGCATTTTTCGAAAAGTGTGACCAAAGATCTTTAAAACTTTAAGTTTGATGCCGAGCGGATGGTAAACAAAAAAGTTGCATATAAACGGTATTTGCGATTTTTCCCGAATTTCCCGAAACGCCGTCTTAACGTGCACCTTTATCACGTAACGTGACTACAGTAAAACAGCGAGCTTCCTAGCTCTTACGATTTGGGCTGCGCGTTGATCACCTATCAGTCAGTTAGGACACAGTTTAATTATAAAACGCATATAAGTATATAGAGATATACATGTACATATATACGCATGAATTTGTATATACTTTGAATTAAAATAAAAAAAAAAAGTGGTGTGATTCTAATGTCTGCCCATTTTCAAGTATAGCACATCTAAAGCTCGCAATAATTATGAAAAAATTAACGCTGTATAAAATGTTATGAAGGGCATCGTTTTTGCAGAGTCCGCATCAACAACAGTCCAATAGCATAACAGCAGACGCAGCCGCCCTGCAATGAAAGGTTAACAGGGAGCAAAGAGCTTTTTGTGCTTATCTCGCTTATTGCTGCTTATTACTCTCTTGCTCTCACTGCGCACAAGAGACAAGCTTTTTCGGCACCAACACAAGCCCTGCCGTCGTATAAAAGCCACTGCTCACCTGATGCCGCGACTATTTGTAATTCACATTTCGTCGTTAGATCGCGCATGAGTTTACGGAGTTTTTAACCATAAGCCGATTCGCCGTTACAAGTGTTTTGCATCAATTGCATTCATCCAAGTGTGTAAAATATTAAGCTGGAAGAATAAATAAAACACAAAATTTGCAGTTGTTAAGAAATGTGCCTGAAGTGAACAAATTGAATCAAAACAATTACTTTTCTGGCTCTGATCTCAACGGTTGATTTAATACCACAGAGAGGCTACCCAAATACAAAACCGCTAACTCTTGTCATTCGCATAGCCCGGGAAAGCTGTTGCTATAGCCTAAGAAAACAGCTGTCGAGGAATCGCCTGATTTTTAGGTATGTATTCCGCATGCATACACTCGTACGGCAAGCATATGGATGTGTCCATGCATGCACACATACACTCACAACGATATTTACGTACACACATGCATACATATGTATGTGGGAGAAATGAATTCTGCAAGAAAGGAGAGAGCATAACAGAACATATTTTTTTTACCCATTTTACATACTGGCGATAGCAGAACTGCAAACAAAAACTAAAAATTACAAAAATTCATACTCTGTGGATATGTTTGAAAAAAAGCCGAAATAAATCAGTCGGCATTAAACTTTACATTGCCTTTTCTTTATTTTCTTACGATCTAACTTTTTTTTATGACCAGTCTAATGTAAGGGCTGTCATTATTCCTGTGCACTTGTTTCGATTTTCTTAATAAAGTTCCCAAAATATTCTCTAGACCCAGACTAGTTATTGCGCTTCATTCTTAATGTTTCACTTACAAATGTACTTGCTAGGGTTTCGCATGCTAATTAACATGATGGTTAATTTCTATGATTTCCACACTAACAAAACAATAGCAAAATTGATTGGGAAATTTCCAATCTACATACGTTCGCACATATGTACATAAAAATGTATGTATGTGTGTACAAACTGATTCAGCTAACCGAACGTTTATGCACGCGACTAGAAAATGTCCAGACACAAGTACGCACACATATGTACATAGGTATACATAGGTGTGTATGTAAATAAATAGACGCATGTGTATATACAAAATATGTCTGGAGATATGCTATCAGTATACAAAGCCAATTCGAGTTAATCACCCCATTCTCGCTTATCATTTGGCAATGAACTTGAGGCGCGCGCGTCGAACGACTCTGAGGAGAGGCTTAGGTGAGGTGATCAATTGCTGCAAATTCATAACTAAAACTAGTTGCAGTTTCCCAATAATCGATAAGTGCAAATATAGCCTAAGTGTATAAATAAACAGTATTAAGTGCGCGGTGGCAGAACTTGAAAACAAATTTACCGTAAAGTGTCGGCAACAGTGCCCATTTTTACAGTGGCCAGCTATTATTGCTAACAGAAACGTTTTGTTTACATATCCAATGACGCAATTCTTGTCAGCGGTCCGATGGCAACGCTGGAAATCAATATGCACCCTGTAATTAATGTAAAAGGATATGTTATTGTCGCAATAAGTAAGCGAAAACAGTATAACAAAACAAAACGACAGCAGAACATCAGACGTCTCCAAAACTAAAAAAAAAAAAAATTCAGAAATAATACTTAAACAAACATGGAAATCACGCCACCAATCTCACTCTCTACAAATTGCTTTTGAACACGCGTCATGCTGATGTGAATGCGTGTGTGTGTGTGCGAGTGTGTGTGTATGTGTATGTATGGATTTGTTGCCGGCTGGTGGACAATATAACGTCGAAAACCGGCGCGTCTCTCTCTCTCTCTCTCTGTGTGTGTCTCGCTCCCTAATTCTATGTATGTATGTATGTACACATGTATTCTTATGCTTATGTATGCATGCTTGCTGAAAGTGCTCTTGCGGACTTTCTCGCAAACAAGCCGAACTATTAGCTTTAGCTACACTGACTTACATATTTCATTGTGCCGCTCTCATTCTGCACATCGTACGAGTTTTATCGGTAAAACGTGCCAAACGTTTTAGTATGGGTGAGCGTCAGCTGCGACCCTGCTTTTGGAACTTCTAGGCTAACATATTTTTTGTTGCACTATTAGACTGGTTGCACACAGAGCACCAGGAAAAGCATATGTATCTCCATGTATGCATGTGTATGTGTATTCATACATACTTATGCGTGCGTGTATGTATGTACGTGTATACATGAAGAAATAATGTTGCCGCACATTGTTAGGCCATTCACTAATCACGCCACCGCAGATAGCAAAAACCGTTGCACGCGCAGCTTCTCCAGAAATCACCTGATTTTCAATTACTCGCTACAAAATTCGTATAACTACGCGGGCAGTTAGCTTTCGAGGGAAAACATTTAAAGCTTTTCGTGAGCAACAGAAAATTAACAGTATTTTAACATACATGTTAACATTGCTCGCTATACCTATATATTTAGCCACCAGTGTGCAAAAAATACGATAGAAATGCGGTGCTTGAATATTTAAACCATATAAAAACAGAAAGGTTAATAATATACATTTACCTTTCTTACGTAAATATTCAAGCACATATTTATTATATACAAACGCACGTTTGTGACCACTGGAATAGTTTAACGGAAATTTTTTTTTTTTAAGAATTTGTATTATTTTTATGTACATAAATGTAAATACGTTTTTTTTTTTTATTTCGAGAGGCAGAGGGATTGGTATTCGAGAAAGAAAACCTATGTTAAAAGTTTTGGCAAGAATTGCATGATTACATCTATGCAAATAGGAATCAGATCGGTGAAAGAGCTTACTAAAGATTTAATATAATTGCTGAGTTTGAGTTTTGGTTTTAATCTCATTCGACAAGATATTTAAGAAAATTCTTTTCGAGGCGTTTTTCACACTCATATTCGAGATGTGGTAACTGGCAACTTTTCTGTTTACCAACAAAAATGTTGGTTCAAAGGTTTTTATCTAAATTGTAAAGCAAAAATTTGTCATGGGCCTTTATCTTATATATGTATATAGTATATTATGCTCGCCGATATCTAATGTGATCTTAAGTATATAGTAGAACGCTACTGATAACTGGCTTTGATTTCTATTTTGGATTTTGCAGTCGCTAAAAGCTGTTAAGAGCCGTGGATCAGCAAACTGTTGCAGTCAAGGATAGCAACAATTGCACCCCCCCTGTACAAAATAGCGGGAAGAGTGCAGGCGCCCTACGTCGGCGACGCCGTCGCAATAGAAAGCAACAAAATTCACGCCAACCTGACGCCTCTGAGGAGCCAAGCGCGCAGCTAACACCAAGCACCTCCAATTGGAACCGTGCCACGAATAATAGTCCCATAACAGCCAAGAAAATGCCAGCCCGTTTTGCCGAGGAAGTGATCACCGCTGAGCCCGCAACGCATACTGCCCCCCAATTGGACCTGGGTGGTCACTATGCGCCGCGCCAGCAGGTGCTGAATGAGGAGATTGCGATAACTGGATTCTCTGGCCGTCTGCCTGAGAGTTCAAATATCGAAGAATTCAAGCAGAATCTGTTCGATGGCGTCGATTTGGTTAATGATGATCCCAGACGCTGGGAGCGCGGTAGGTGTACACATTATATTTTCTATTTAGCAACGTTTACAAGTGTCTCCAAATGCCACAGGTCTATATGGACTACCCGACAGGATGGGCAAAATCAAGCAAATCGATCTGGAGAATTTCGATCAGCAGTTCTTTGGCGTGCACCAGAAGCAAGCCGAGTGCATGGATCCTTTGCTGCGCATGCTGCTCGAGCTGACTCACGAGGCAATCATTGATGCCGGCTTAAATCCCACAGATTTGCGCGGATCTCGCACTGGCGTATACATTGGCGTATCGACATCAGAAACAGAGCAGCATTGGTGCTGTGATCCCGACCGTGTTAATGGCTATGGCTTGACGGGCTGTGCACGTGCCATGTTTGCCAATCGAATTTCATTTACCTTCGACTTCAAGGGACCAAGCTACAGCATTGACACGGCCTGCTCCAGCTCGTTGTACGCACTGGAACAGGCTTTCTCCGATATGCGCGAGGGCAAGGTCGACAATGCACTGGTCGCTGGCGCTGGCCTCATTCTCAAACCCACCATGTCGCTGCAGTTCAAGAGACTCAACATGTTAAGTCCGGATGGCAGCTGCAAGGCGTTCGACGAGTCCGGCAACGGCTATGTACGCTCCGATGGCTGTGTGGTGTTGCTTCTGCAACGTACATCGGTTGCCAAGCGTGTGTATGCTTCCATTTTGAATGTGCGCACAAACACGGACGGCTACAAGGAGCAAGGCATCACCTATCCCATTGGTAGTATGCAGAATCGTCTAATACGCGAGACATACGAAGAAATTGGTCTTAATCCCAACGATGTGGTATATGTGGAAGCTCACGGCACCGGCACCAAAGTTGGTGATCCACAGGAGGTTAATTCCATCACTGACTTTTTCTGCAAGAACCGTACCACGCCCCTACTGATTGGATCGGTCAAGTCAAACATGGGTCACTCGGAGCCGGCGTCCGGCGTTTGTTCGGTAGCCAAGATACTGATCGCGATGGAGTCGGGCATCATACCCGGCAACCTGCACTACAACAAGCCCAATCCGGATCTGTACGGTCTGCTTGATGGTCGTCTCAAGGTGGTCGATAAGAACATGCCATGGAACGGAGGCATCATTGGCCTAAATTCCTTTGGCTTTGGTGGCGCTAACGCTCACGTTATTCTGAAGTCCAATCCCAAGCCAAAGACCATAACACCACGCAACGGTGGACCTAAAGTTGTGATTGCTTCCGGTCGCACCTTCGAGGCCGTACAACAGATGCTCGAATCTGCCGCCGACCACACTGACGACGATGAATATCTGCACCTGATTAACGATATACACTCAAAGCCCATTCCGCTGCACTATTTCCGTGGTTACAGTGTGGTGAGCAACAAAGGATCGCTACAGCGCGAGGTGGTGGAGTTCAGCGACGAAAAACGCCCCATATGGTACATCTATTCGGGCATGGGCAGCCAATGGGCCAGCATGGCGAAGGATCTGATGAATATCGATGTGTTTGCCAAGAGCATTCAACGCTGCGCCGATGTTCTAAAGCCCGTGGGCGTGGATTTAATTGAAGTGCTAACACGGTCAACGGATAAGAGCTTTGAGAACATTCTCAATTCGTTTATCTCGATTGCCGCCATGCAGGTGGCCCTGACGGACCTACTTAGCTCACTAAATATCCATCCGGCTGGCATTGTGGGACATTCGGTGGGCGAACTGGGCTGTGCCTATGCTGACGGCTGCTTTACGCCCGAACAGACCGTGTTGGCTGCCTACTGGCGAGGCAAGAGCATCCTGGATACGCAGTTGCCAAAGGGCAAGATGGCTGCAGTGGGTCTCAGCTGGGATGAGGCGCACAAGCTCGTGCCCAGTGATTGCTTCCCCGTCTGCCACAATAGCGAAGACAATTGCACAATTTCGGGACCGGAGGCATCCATCGAAGCGCTGGTGGCCAAACTTAATGCTCAGCAAATATTCGCCAAAGCTGTTAACAGCAGCGGCTATGCATTCCACAGCAAGTACATCGCCGATGCAGGTCCCAAGCTGCGCAAGAGCCTGGAGAAGATTATACCTAATGCCAAGAACCGTACCGAACGTTGGGTGAGCACTAGTATTCCCGAATCGGCCTGGAGCACCCCGATTGCAAAGCAATCATCAGCTGCCTACCACGTGAACAATCTGCTATCCCCTGTACTCTTTCACGAGGCTTTGCAACACGTCCCCAAGAATGCCATTTCCATTGAAATCGCACCACACGGCCTACTGCAGGCCATACTGAAGCGCGCCCTTGGCCCGGATGCCACCAACTTGAGCTTGGTAAAACGCGGACACGAAAACAATGTGGAATTCTTCCTGAGCAACGTGGGAAAGCTGTTTGCGGCTGGAGCTCAGCCGCAGGTGCTGAATCTGGTGCGTCCCATCAGCTATCCTGTTGGTCGCGGCACTCCAATGCTGAACTCAAAGGTCGGCTGGGATCACACGCAGAAGTGGTTGGTGGCCAAGTTTGGCAAGGAGACCTCTTCGGGTGAAACCATCATCGAGATCGATCTCTCCAAGGAGGAGGACGCATTCCTAGCTGGCCATAATATCGACGGACGCATTCTGTTTCCGGCTACCGGGTATATGGCCTTGGCCTGGATGACGTTTGCCAAAATGCGAGGTGGCGAGTTCCAAAAGACGCCAGTTGTCATGGAAAATCTGGTATTCCACCGTGCAACTATTCTGAACAAGAGCGCCGTGGTCAAGTTCGGCATAAACTTTTTCGATGGCACTGGCAAGTTTGAGATCTGTGAAAGCGGCAGCTTGGCCGTTTCCGGCCAGATCACAATTCCGGAGAGCATCGATAACGAGGAACTGCCCTTGGAACCCCAGGCGCCCAGCAAGGTAGCCAAGCCGCTGGCCACCAACGATGTCTACAAAGAGTTGCGCCTGCGCGGCTACGATTACAGCGGAATTTTCCGCGGTATTTTGAGCTCCGATACCTATGCTTCCAGTGGTAATTTGCAGTGGGTGGACAATTGGGTTAGCTTCATGGATACCATGCTTCAGTTCAGCATTCTAAGCAAGAACCTACGCGAACTGTACTTGCCCACGCGCATAGAGAAGGCCGTCATCAATCCACTCAAGCATTTGGAGCTAATTAAGGGACTCACTAAGGTAACACAAACAGAGACTGGTCTGCCGGTCTACTGGTATAATGATATTAATGTTATCAAGAGTGGCGGAGTTGAGCTACGCGGTCTCAAAGCCTCGCTGGCACAGCGTCGCCCGGGCACCCAGAACCCACCCACACTTGAACGCTACTGCTTTGTGGCCAACAACAATGCAACCGAATTGCATGAGAATACGGAAAAGGCACGTTTACACGCTCTGGACGTGTCCATTCAGCTAATCATTGAGAACTCCGGTGGTGCTGTCAAATTGAAGGGTGTCGAGCTGGCCAATGGCCGTAATCCCGATGTGCTCACGGCCAATCATTTGCTGCAAATTATTGAAGGCGAACCGTTGCTAACCGGCGATGTGGCCGTGGTTACATCCAACAACAATGAGGAGATTATCGCGAGCGCCCTAGGCGATTCTGGTGTACGCGTCATAACCAAGGATGTGCTTAAGGAGCCGGTTGAACAGAATTGCCACTTTGTATTCGGCATCGATGTGCTCGCCCGACCGGATACAAAGACTCTCGAAAATAGCATTGCCAGCATTCGTGATGGCGGTTTTCTCATCTTTGAGGAAGGTCTGACTACGTATGTCAAGACTGGACGCGCACTTCTCGAAAAGTTCGGCTTCGTTGCCGTGCAAGAGCAGACGCTGGGTGGCACACGCGTTGTCGTACTGGCACGCCGTCGAGTCGATCTGAAGACGCGCAAATCTGTGGTCGTGCAGGTCACAGAGAAGAACTTTGATTGGGTCGATGAACTTAAGGCTGCGCTGGCCACAGCGGCCACGGAGCAACAATATGTCTATGTGGTCTGCCAGAATGAGGAACTGTTTGGTGCTGTCGGTCTGATGACATGCATCAAGAATGAGAACGGCGGTAAGCTGGCACGTTTGGTATTCGTACAGGATCTTGTATCCGAGAAGTTTGCACTCAACGCGCCGCTGTACCAAAAGCAGCTGGAAAAGGATCTGGTTTCGAATGTACTTAAGAACGGCAACTGGGGTAGCTTCCGTCATCTGAAACTGGAGACCCAACAGGCCACCCTACAGGTCGATCATGCCTATGTTAATACTCTAGTCAAAGGCGACTTGTCCTCTCTGAAGTGGATCGAGGGTGCCAAGATCGATAGCACAACCAAAAAAGACTATGAAACCTGCACCGTTTATTATGCGCCCATTAACTTCCGTGACGTGATGCTGTCTTCGGGTAAACTGGCCGCGGATGCTCTGCCTGGTGACCTGGCCGAGCAGGATTGCGTTTTGGGCTTGGAGTTTGCCGGCCGAGATACCGCCGGACGCCGGGTAATGGCCATGGTACCGGCAAAATCTTTAGCAACTACTTGCCTGGCCAGCAAGCGCATGATGTGGCAAATACCCGAAAAGTGGACCATGGAGGAGGCCTCCACGGTGCCCTGTGTCTACGCTACCGTATACTATGCCCTTGTCGTGCGCGGGCAAATGAAGAAGGGTGAGCGCATCCTTATCCATGCCGGCTCGGGCGGTGTGGGCCAGGCTGCCATTTCTGTGGCCCTGCACCACGGTCTGACGGTCTTCACCACGGTCGGCAGCAAGGAGAAACGTGAATTTTTACTGAAGCGTTTTCCCAAGCTGCAGGCACGTAACATTGGCAATTCACGTGACACATCGTTTGAGCAATTGGTTATGCGCGAAACAAAGGGACGCGGTGTCGATCTTGTACTGAACTCACTGTCCGAGGAGAAGCTTCAGGCATCTATACGCTGCTTGGGTCTCAATGGACGTTTCCTGGAGATTGGCAAATTTGATCTGAGCAACAACAGTCCATTGGGCATGTCGGTGTTCCTGAAGAACACATCGTTCCATGGTATTCTGCTCGACAGCGTAATGGAGGGCGAAGAGGAAATGCAGAACCAAGTGGTATCACTCGTAGCCGAGGGAATCAAAAGCGGCGCTGTTGTACCTTTGCCCACATCCGTGTTTAATGACAAACAAGTGGAGCAGGCCTTCCGTTTCATGGCGTCAGGCAAGCACATCGGCAAGGTGGTCATTAAGGTGCGCGATGAAGAGGATGGCAAGAAGACGCTAATGCCCAAGCCGCGTCTGATCAACGCTATTCCCCGCACCTACATGCATCCGGAAAAGAGTTATATACTTGTTGGTGGCCTAGGCGGTTTTGGCTTGGAGCTAACCAACTGGCTGGTTACACGAGGAGCACGCTATATTGTGCTCACCTCGCGCTCGGGCGTTAAGACCGGCTATCAGGGTCTAATGATACGTCGCTGGGAGGAGCGCGGCGTTAAAGTGGTAATCGATACTAACGATGTGACTACGGCTGCGGGAGCCAAGAAATTACTGGAAAGCAGCAACAAATTGGCACTGGTCGGAGGTATATTTAATTTGGCTGCCGTGCTGCGGGATGCGCTGATTGAGGATCAGACAGCCAAGGACTTTAAGACCGTTGCGGATCCTAAGGTGACAGCCACAAAATTCTTGGACCAATATTCGCGCACCATTTGCACGGAGCTCGACTACTTTATCTGCTTTTCGAGCGTCTCATGCGGTCGCGGCAACATTGGACAAACTAACTACGGCCTGGCGAACTCCGCCATGGAGCGCATTTGTGAACAACGCCAAGTTAGCGGATTCCCCGGCACAGCCATACAATGGGGCGCCATTGGCGACACTGGCTTGGTGCTAGAGAATCTCGGCGATAACGATACTGTTATTGGAGGCACACTGCCGCAGCGCATGCCGTCCTGTCTGCAGACCATCGACATATTCCTGCAGCAGCCACATCCTGTATTGGCGTCCATGGTGGTGGCCGAGAAGCGCAAGTCGGATCAGTCCGCCGGTGTTAGTCTTATTTCAACCATATCGAATATCTTGGGACTGCGTGACACCAAAAACATTCAAGACGCCTCTTCTCTAGCCGATTTGGGCATGGACTCCCTAATGGGAGCGGAAATCAAGCAAACACTGGAGCGCAACTTTGATATTGTTCTCTCGACGCAGGAGATTCGTCAACTAACTTTTGGAGCTCTCAAAGAAATGGACGGCGGCGCCGAGGTGAAGCCCACTGCAAGCTCAGCTGATGCGGCTGTCAGTGAACCGGCTGCCAAGTCCACGCCTCCATCGCGAACAGCCAGTCCCATGGGAGATGGTACACAGGTGGTTTTCACCACTGCACTGATACCCACAGAGGAAATTGTGCGCCTGGAGACTCAGGCACCGGCAAATAGCACACAGAATCCGATATTCTTTATTGCCCCAATTGAAGGATTTGCCACAGCGCTGGCATTGTTGGCCAAGAAGCTCGAGGTGCCTGCCTACGGCTTGCAATTCACCAGCACCGTGCCCTTAGACTCCATAGAGGCAGCAGCGAGATTCTATATCAAACAGTTGCGTACGGTGCAGGCAAAGGGACCCTACAAACTGGCAGGCTACTCCTTTGGCTGTCTGCTCACCTACGTAATGGCCGCCATACTGGAGGAGACCAACGAAATTGCCAATGTTGTCATGCTGGATGGCGCGCCCACCTACGTCAATTGGTATACGAGCAGCTTTAAGCAGCGATACACCGTCGATGACGACAACAGCAACCAAAGCTACGGCCTGGCCTACTTCGGTCTTGTGCTGGCCAACATTGACTATAAAGCTGTAAGCATCAAATCAAATATTTTTTGTCATCAATGTCATAAATCTTGTTCTTTTAAATCTTGTTCCTAGCTGGTACGTTTGCTACTGGTGATACCCACCTGGGAGGAGAAACTAGAAAAGTTTGCTGAGCTTCTGAGTGTGGAAATAACCCAGCCGGTGGAGACTGTAAGTACGGTTATTCTATTGGCTTTCCGATTTTATTTTTTATTCTCGTTTATAGATCAAAACGGCTGCGAAACTCTTTTACAAGAAGCTGGAGCTGGCCGACGGCTATACGCCAAAATTGAAACTCAAGTCAAAGGTGACATTGGTGAAGCCCACAGATAACTCTGCTAAAATGGATGAGGACTATCGCCTTAAGGAGGTGCGTTAAACAAAAAATAATAATTCCAATTTATAACTAATTTTTGATTGCTTTCATTTAAGGTTTGCATAAAGCCCGTGGAAGTGCACACTGTCGAAGGCAATCATCGTACATTCCTTATAGAGGATCAGTCCCTGGTGACAATTCAGAGTATACTTAAGCGACTCTTCAACTAGCAACCATGACTAAAACATTCCAAAAGGCACGCACACATTAGCATATATATATATATATATAATACTCATGTTCTAATTAGTCCATATTGTAGCTGTGGAAGCTCTCTATTTTCTATTTTCCTCTTTTTCTTTTATAAGGAAGTGCACAGCATCACCACAAATTACATTACAGCACAAGCTAGCACATTTAATAATGAATTTATACTATTAAGCTAAAAAGAATATATTCAAATTATTTTAACATGTCCAACAGTTTAGCAAGTCTATGTAATGTAACTGCCGTCTTGCAACGCCTGTGGATACAAAGGTCCAAAAATTAATCCACACGAGTTGCGATTCTGGGCAGTTGATTTTACTAAAATCTTTATGCACATGTAAACATGGGAGAGTGTCAGCATTCCTTGGGAACTACAGCAACGGCAATAGATCCAAATAACCAAATATAAGCGTGTACTATAATTATATGCACATTTGTCACATGCTTTTTTAGCTTTAGTTTTGTAGTTTTAAGAACAAACTCATATGTAACGAGCCACATTCCTCGAATTATATATAAATATATATATATATAACTAATTTATTTATATATATATATATTTATATATATGTGCAGTCCTCGATATTTATCTCCAAAAATAAATAAAAATTGTTGTATTGATATATAAATATGCTTACAAAGTTATCACTCATGATTATTGAGGATATATATTCATACATACTAACGAGTAAATAAAGATTACTTACAAATTATTTGCAAGTTTATGAACTTGATCGAATGTATTTGTTGGGGCTTCATGTGCGCATGCATGTAATCTTACATGTGCGCATGCATGTATTCAAAAAATCGTTGAATCGAATTTCTACCGAGGATGCTCAGATTCTGCGAAGAGTGTGAAACTCGCCCAACTGATTTTTCGTATGTATCCTTCGAAATTAATTTGAGCCCCATTTCCACCAAGGTACACAGAAAATTTCAGCTATATTCATACATGTGCGCATGCACGCATGCATGTGCTCATACATGTGCGCATGCATGCATGCATGTGTTCATACATGTAAAACAAACATGCATACATGCATTCAAAGAGACATACATGTGAAAACTTAAAACTAAGCCCACAAAATCGTTGAATCGAATTTCTACCGAGGATGCTAAGATCTGCAAAGAGTGTGAAACAACCCCAAATGATTTTTCGTATAGATCCTTAACAATGAATTTGAGCGCGAAACGTCACCCACCAAATCCTTGACCCTCATTTCCACCAAGGTCCAGTGAAACTTTCAGCTTCCTAGCTCTTGCGGCATAGGCTGTGCGTTGATCAGCAATCAGTCAGTCAGTCAGGAACAACAGTTTTATATATAGAGATAGAATGCTTGAATAGTATATGCTTTATAGAGTCGAACATGTCGCTTGCTACCTACACACATTTGCATAACCTTCTGACTTATATACATTTTCTAGGGTACCTATGGGTGCAAAAACAAAAAAAAAGTTTAGCAGACGTTTGCTCTGCTCTGAAAACTGATAAGCAATTGATAATCAGCCAATGCCCGCGATTTATAACCCGGGTTTTTTGTTTTGTTTGTATTCCTATTGGGAAGGCTTTTCTTGTTTTCGCGCATGTCAGAAACATGTACCATATAGATGTGCCGATGTCTGACTGTAAGCAGCAGCAGCATACCACTAATAAGATCGCTAGAGAAATACACTTACCCTTATCATCGCTGATAAGCCTCACAGCCGGCAGTTGGTTAGCTTAGAGGCGATTTTTGTCGAAATTATTTAGTTAATGAGAACCGCTCGTTCGACTTGAATCAGTTGATTGTTGTATGTATACACTTGTGTCCCACATTTCTTACTAATAATAAGCTAGGTAATTTAATGTAAAAATAAATAATAAAAAAAAAAAAAAAATCCATCAATTAGTTAAATGGCTTACGGTTATTTCAATATCTATGATATATTCAATGTGTAGCATATGCATAAGTTGTCTGCGACCTGACATAGCGCAAGTTTCTAAGAAAATGTGTGTCAGGTGGAATTTGAATATCGCATAATATAACAAACGGCAGCCATAAATAAAAATTAGTTTAATTAAATAACCTTATGCTAGGTCAGTTTTGTTGTCTCGCACGCATATTGAATACCTATCCACGCATTTAAGTCTATTTATACGATTTTGAGATACATTTTGTTGTTACTTTGAGCAGTCTAATGGCAAATATAATTATTATAATTTTAGGCGATTTACTCATTAATGAGGCCAAAAGCAACTCTAATTATTTAAATATATATTCTGCTGCATGACAACGGTGAGAACGATTCGACTATGAATTCGATTTGCAATTAACTTTCACATTTGCTGACTGAATTTCAGATTTTCATAGTATTACAATCTGTTCTTATCTCTAACGAATGGCATAAATTATTGGCTTGTGTTATAAATAAAAAGGAAGCTGGTCGCCAGTTCTAATTTCAAATTCACATTCACATTCAAATGAATATTCATAGCGTGCATAGTACGAGCCGTGTTCTTATTAGCTTATTAACTGCAAATAATTTTCAAATTTTATTAGCCCCTTGTTTTGCGTAAAGTGATACAGCACACAATCAACTTTGCAAGCTGCGATTTTCATCTTAGGATCGAGATTTAGCGTGTCTTTATTTGCACACGTTTTTTTTTCCAATGATTGTGGAATTAATTTAATATCTATACCAAACAAACCAACAGGGGCACTAATTAATTCAACTAAGTAAATCAATGTCATCTAAAGGAAAAAAAAGTTCATATTTTATAGAAATGTTGAAAATGATTGCAAGATACATTTTGCTCTGTTTTGTGCAAGTGTCTTTAGATAGAAGGAAGTCGAAATCTTCGAGTCCATGGAGTACATACACGTGTCTCATGTGCAAAATTGTACAGCCTAGAATTTTAGATCAGGCAAGAATCAATCAAAGTGCTGATAATCCGAGTTTGATGAACGGGAATGAGCGCGCTTTATGCTGAGACAAGCTCGACCTGAGAGACGGCGATCGGCTAAACGATTTATCCAAAAAACATATGCCCAACGCGACGCGCCGCACCGCATCGGACTCTATCTACGGTTTGATAAGCTTGCTCGTGTGTGTGCGGCTCGACCGTAGAGCAATATGGACGGGCACGAATCTGTGAATCTGGGAACGACACGGACGACGCGCGGCTGACGACCCTAGCCCAGCTCAGCTCAGCTCAGCTCAGCTCAGGTTAGCTCAGTTCAAAAGCGAAACTCAGATCGGACACAGTTCAGTTTTTGCTGCCATTGACGGTTGACTAAAGTGACCTCCGCGCTGGATGCTGCAGCTTCCAAGTGCCATAAGCTCTCGCGCCGCGCAAAATATATCTCGAAGTTCAAACAATCGCACAAATAAACTAGATTGCATTTGTGCCTGTGTGTGCCTGTGCGTGTGTGTGTGTGTGTGTGTGTGTGTGTGTGTGTAACTACTGTGTTTACGTGTGCTCGCCGCGGCGACTAAGCTATTTCCATAAATACATATGGAAGCGCCTAAAGTCGCGTTCGTTCATTCAAACAACCAACTCCTTCGTTAACGGTCAAAGTCTTGCTCGCGATCAAGTCAGGCCCTAGCTTGAACAGGTGTACAGGTGTAGTAACAATCACTTCCGGTGCGCGTCATTTCAAATTGCATCTTCGCGTAAAACATATCGAAAAAACTCTGCCAATTACACGTGCGCTTCAATCAGTGCGTACAATTATAATGTACACATACATGTGTATGTGCACACATAGATGTGCATGTGTTTGTGCCTAAGCTCCTCTCCATTGCGTTCTCTCTCTCTCTCTCTCTCTCTCTCTCTCTCTCTCACACACATATACACACGCTCTCGCTCACGCACCCACAATTGCAGTCGCCGGAGACGCCATCACACAGCAAAACTAATGTTAATTTGAAACGGTAAACAATTGGGAATGCTGTTACTTATTTTTGTTTTTTTTTGGGTTTTTTTTTCATGTACATATTTAAATGATTATGCGTAATTTCTTTGCATACACATATTTGATTGTACGCATTATCTTTATTCCGGATTGTAAATTTATCGTTTGATAACAATTGGCGATTAAAAGTTCGGGCCCGATAAGATAGCGAGCTTTCAAACTCAGCTGATAGTGTCTAGGTATATATATATATATACATATAATGCTTGTCCTGACAGACCGAAAGGAATTTTCCAGTATATGTAGTTAATATTATGTGATGGATTGTGACAAAACAAATATCTCAATTTGCACAAAAAATGGCTTAAAATTTGCATAAGCAAAAATTGGAATTTCATCTAATTAGCCTCGTTTTTTGAGATGGCTTTAGAGCACAAGATCTATCTGTGTGACACCCTTAAAAATTGATTGTCGAATATCCGATTATCATTAGATCAATTTTATCTAAAAGCCTCTACTCAAACAATTGTAGTCTGTTCTAGTCGGAAGTGCCCGACTTGGGAATACCCTGAACCTCTTTATAAAACCCGGTTTCAATTTTGAAACGGGGGAAGAAAAATCAACTTAAAACTACTCGTTTCGTGTTTAGTAAATGTATATTTCTTTCAAATATCAGGTTTAAGTTCAAGAGAGAGAGAGAGAGGGACACGGATATGCGATCTTGAATGTCCCTGGGAAATTTCATTTCAATAAAATAACTACAATATTCGTAGCTATGCCTATTTCGCCCATTCATTCGCGTAGTCGATTCCAGCGTAAAATAAAAATCGATATTTATCGATATTTTCGAAATGAAAGAAAAGCAACTTTTTCTGCGACAAAATTCTCATATTCGAGTATTTAGTTTTTGTCGTTTCCCATGAAAATTGCAAGGTGTTTGGCACGTCGTGCCAATCCCTTGTGCGCAAACTTAATGAGTATATAACTTTGTCAAGGGAATTAGCACCGCACAAAAGAAGAATATCTACGATCCAAGAGAAGTACATATATTTATATTCTAGATAAGAAGCAACGACCGAGTTGCCTCTTTTTTAGTTAACTAGCTGCTCAGATAAGTCGAAACACGCCTCGGATCAGACAACTATATCGTATAGCTGCCCTAGCAACGATCGGACAAAAATTAGGCGCTTGGCTGGAAAACAATTTTGCTTATCGAAATACTCTATTTTGCTTTTCATATATATGCAAAGTCTTATCAATATCGGATCATATATAGATGACATATATTCTGTACTTAAAGTTTGTGCAAGGGTATTAAATAATCGGCTATCCTAAGATAAGCATGCTTTCGCGCTTTTATTTATTATTTACAGAACTTAAGAAAAGTATAAAAGCATTCGCATTCGTGTGTTTGATCAAGATTCTCGCAAACAAACTATAAAATCTAGCTCTATAGCACAGTAAACAAAGGTAAACATTCGATTAGAGACCTTTGCAAGCAAATATAATTTGCTTAAAGCTAGGCAGAGATGGTGTGTGCGGGAGGGGAGGGGGGGGGGTGTTGGTCTGATCTGATAAGCACAGCATCACGGCAATTCCAATTGGAATTCCGAATGTCGCCAGTTTCTTGTCAATTAGCTGAGGTAATTGAAGCACAATGTAGCACTTGGCGACTTGGCATTTGCAAAACTTATTTGGTCTACATTTAAGTCATCTTCTGTCCCCGGTTTTGTGTAAATGCTCTAAATTATCAACGGCTGACCCCTAATATGACGAGGAACGAGGAAGTCCTGCTGCGCTGTGGCCACTTTAATGAGCTGCACCGCGGGACTTCCATTTAGTTGGCAATTCCAGCACGATGATTTATTTAAATGCGAATGCGCTTGACCCAATCTCTACAGCATTGTTGTTGTTGTTGTTTGTATTCTCTTTTTTTTTTTTTTTTGTTGCTGTCTGCATTAGCGTTTGTTAGACAGACCTTCAGAAGCAGAATGTCATGTTTAATTATTGCGCATACGCCACGTTGTCGCAGCCGCAATCACAAACATCCTGCGCTGCTCAAATCAGTCTAATTCCGTCATATACTATGCGCTTGTCTAATTAGCTTTGTTTAATTTGGATTTACACAATATACACAAAAATTAGACGAAGAGGCCAAATTTCTGAGCTACAAATTGCCGCAGCCCCAAACATAAAAATTCGTTTTTATTTTTTATTGAAAGCGAGTTATTAAATTTTGCCACCTTCAGCAGCAAACCGTCTCTCAGTCTCAGTGCCAATTCAGAGTTGAGCTGTGAATATATTTTCACTTTTTTTTATTTATTTTTTCTATTCATGCTGCTCGACGTCTTAAATTGGATATATTAAGTGCTTGAGTGAAGCGCTATGCTATGACAACAGAATGTCTATATATATTGATTAGAGCCAAACGGAAGCATATGTCACAGTCGTGTCGTGTGATAAACAAGCTTATTAAATATCATAAATGGGAACAATTGAAGGGCTCACAAAAGATAGCATATAGGTGAAACGGCCCTTTAGCAGTAGCTCACATATGAGTCTACCGAAAAGATCTGGATTGGGCTTAGCTTAGCTAAGAATTAGGTTAGACTCAACATTTGATGTGGCGTTCCTTGCATTTGCAGGCCCAAGTGCAGGCAGAACATAAAGCGAGACCCAGACCGGGTGACCCGCTGGCGTATGCTGGTGGATGTGGCTGTGTGGATTATACAATCCAGATTGACAACTGGAGGCAGACAAACACGTAGTCTGTTATTTAACTGCTATAACAATTATCAGTGCTGGATTATTATCAGTGCAACGAAAGCGAGTAGAGAAGCGGAGAAGAAGGAAGCGCTGCATCTCTCTCGCTCTCTCTCTCTCTCTCTCTCTCTCTCTCTCTTTCAACCGTAGCGGAGCTAACAATCAGCACAATGTCAGCATTTGCGATTCGCCAAACCCGAGACCACAGCAAAAACAGTATTAGAACGCAGATGCACAGATGAGCAGATGAGCAGATGAGCAGATGAAAGCAGCAGCACAGGGCGACGTCTGGACCAAACAGCAAACAATCCGAACGAACGCAAGAAACTTTTGGCTTTATTCCGGCAGTAGAAGCACTGAGCAGGCGCACACAATATGCTGACCATGGACAAGTGCACAGCGGCGAATCCGGCGCCAATTATCATCGGCGGCAACACAAAGCCGCCCGCGTTGCTGCCGGCGTCGGCGTCGGCTTCGGCGTCGGCGTCAGCGTCGGAGCAGCATACACACCTGCCGCAGCTGCATACGCATCAACAAGCGCATTCCCTGCCCCATTTAACTATGCAACATACCTGCACACACGCGCCGCCGCACAGCCAGAAATATGCACCTGATGCGCCCCGCCGGAATCTACACGAGCTGCTCCTGGAGCTGTTGGACGTGCTGCTCTCCTGCCTGGTGGTGGCGCCTTGCGTGATCGCCTATTGGCGCGGCACCTGGGAGCTGATGGGTGTGCTGCTCTTTCCCAATAGCCAGCCCTTTTCCGCACTGGCCTCCTTTGTGATCGGCGGCCTGGGTCACTTTATATTTACCATCACGCAGAACTTCTTCAAGGATCACATACATCCCGACAAGCGACGACTCACCTACTATGCCATCTCCAGGCTGTATACCGCCGTCTTTGGCATCGTCTGCGTCAACATGTGGCGCGGTGCCTGGATGATATGCGACTGGCTGACCAGCATCGACTCCCTGGCCATCATATCGGTGGTGACACTGATAGCATTGCTCTTCTTGGTCGGAACCCGCACTCTGCGCAATCTGGGCGCAGCTCCCTACACGGTGACCATGGATCACAAGAGCGACTACTTTGAGGTGGACACCATGTTTAAAATACCGGTAAATAGATATTCTGCACAAGATTTTATATAGAAACATGCAAAGCAAAGACAGCTTCAGCAAAGATCTCGAAAACATTGTCAAACTGGACATGGACAAAAGCATATACATATATATATCAGATTCGAGTTCTCTTTCTCTTAGCAAATTCGAAAGATTCTCAAAAACAACAAATTCAAATCGTTCTCTTCGAAAACATTTCGAATTCGAGTTCTCTTTCTTTTCGAATATTCGAAACATACTCAAAAGCAAGAATTATAGATCGTTCGAAAACATTTCGAATTCGAGTTGTTGAATTATTGACCGATCTCTTTGAAAAGATTTCGAATTCGAATTGTCTTCCTCTTCGAATATTCGAAACATACTCAAAAGCAAGAATTATTGACCGATCTCTTCGAAAACATTTCGAATTCGAATTCTCTTTCTCCTACCAAATTCGAATGATACTCAAAGCCCAGAATTATAGATCGAACTCTTTGAAAACATTTCGAATTCGGTTGGTTACTTTCATACAGTCAGAAGGGCCCCCCGCCTATATACTTTATACAGATTTTTGTACTGCCTTTTGTCTGCGACAAAAATTTGCACAATTCCAATACAGAGAAGAGAATCGAAATCCATTCGATCTTTCATAAGGTCCTTGATCATTTACTTAATATAAAATCGCGAGCTTAAGGTCAAGCAGGGTAAGAGAAAAAATGTCTTGAAATTTCGACACTTCAGATATTTCTCTCTTCAAATTATTTCTAGCTTTCTTCTAACTGCCTACACCATGATAGAAATATTGAGCTCTCATAAAATTGGATTTGCACTTAAAGAGTTCTTAAAATCGATTTTAGAAAATATTTTGAAAATATGAGAACTAATTATATAAGATTTTTTTTTTTGGTATTTCGTAGTTTCCGAGTTTTCAGCTTTTGTAGTTTTGAGATCGGCTTAGGGTATTGAACCACATTGAACTGAGCTCTAATAAATATTTGTACAAATTTTGGGCTTTGTATACGATATCATATCATGCAGGGTTTCAATCAGCCCGGCCTGTACGTGCTGGACACATTGTTTTCCGTTTTTGTCATTGGCAGCCTGGTCGTGATTGCCTGGCGTGGTGTCTGGGGCATCTTTGACTTGACCCTGTATCCGCGTGACAAGGCAAAGTCCGCATGGGGCTCACTGGTAAGCATGAGCTGCCAATTCGTATTGTACTAAACCAGCAGCACAGTAAGATTATGCTCCATCCGCACAGCTAATTGGTTACCTGACGGTATTCGTGACCTTTGTCATACAGCCCCTGATGCGTTACGTTTGCCGGCGCATCAGCGGAATCCTCAAGCTGATCATATGCGATATTTACTATCTGATGACATTTTTTGGAGCCGTAAATGCCTGGCGCGGCATCTGGAATCTGCTTGATGTTTATGTGTTTCCCGGTAAATAAATAACAGATATTGCCCCAATAGAACCGACAATAAACGAATTGTTTCAGACGATCGGCTGATGAGCTTCTGGATAACCCACATCATTCCGTTCCTGGTGCTGGCCGCCCTCAAGTGTTCCAACTCAATTTTGGTGCGCGGCGTCTTCATCGATGCCGAGGGCTCCGGTGCCGAGTGTGTGCATCTGCCCATCAACTATGTTCGTTTGCATTTTTTGCGCGAACGCCGCAAGAAATTGGCCACCGAACAGTATCTGCATTTGGAGTCGCCGTTCTACTATTCGAAGGCGGATCACCAGGCGCTGGGTAGGCACTTGGAGAAGGACAAGGAGGCACAGAACAGCCTAATTGAGAAGCCGCGTGCCAAAGCACAGATCATCTGAATCTGAACAATCAGTTCGCGTGTCTAGATTTCATATGCCATATGCACGCATTGTGGTATTTAACTAATTTTAAATCAATTAACTTAAGTTTAGCATACTTAACAGCAGCCCGGCCTGTTGGGCTCGTCAGTTATTTCCATATCGAATTGTACAAAATTCAATCGATTATGCCTATACATATATACATATATATATATATATATATGTGTGTGTGTGGTATACTTACATCAAATCGTTGGTACAAATTCACAGCTTTTCCTCTCCTTTTGTACATTATGCATTGCAATTTAGCTTTCGCTTTCTATAAACATTCATTTCAAATAAAATCTTCTTATCTATCATGCATATTTCTTTGACTACAGACCTAGTCTTAGAGCCACAATCTATTGTATGTGTTGTTTTTCTTTTCTTCTTTTTTTTTCTATTAGCAGCTGCAGCATTGCATTTACTCACATGCATATATATATATATAAATATATATTTAAATAGTCACCTTTTGTTTATCGAAATTGCAAAAGAAAATTCTCTATATGTACATATACTTTAGCCCTACAGCGATTCATGCACCTGATAGGAATATGTCATGGTAAATTTTAATGTAATTTGGCAATAAAGTTTCATGAAATTTAGAAGAAAAAAAAAAACAATAATAATGCCACAATTTAAAGGCATCAACTGCATTGCTCACTTCGTTTTTTCCTGGTCTCCATAAGAGTATGGAATCAATATATATATATATATATATATATATATACTATGTATATATATGTCAATCGAAGTAAAAACCACATTGAGAACATTCACAAAAATAATCAAAATTATCATTAATAATAAAATTAATGATAATAATGACAATAATAATAATAATGATAATGATAATAATAATGATAATGATAGAAATAATGAAAATAATAATGATAATGGTAATAATGGTAATGATAATGATAATGATAATAATAATAATTATTTTAATTTTAATTATAAATGATAATAATAATAATGATAATAATAATAATTATTTTAATTTTAATTATAAATGATAATAATAATAATGATGATACTAATAATTATTATTTTAATTTTAATTATAAATGTATTAATAATTATGATATTAATTAAAAATTCTTGTCATTAATTATTGCTTGATGTTAATTGTTTAAAATCGGACTTAATAAGCCCTACACATATGTAAATGCCGCTTGCAACGCATTGTCACTAAATAGAAATGTTGAATATGTTTAGAAATGTTGAATATGTATTAAATTTAGTCGACGAGTAGGGTGCTTGGCGTTGGGTACACATTTATCAGGCCAATTTCGCTGAAAATAAAAAAGTAAAAGGAAACGAGGGGGGGAAACTGCGCAGCTAAAATAAATACGCAAATGTAAATCGAAAGCGCAAAATAGAAAGCAATTGATATTGAAGCAAGGCGTGAAATGCAAAAACTTGGCATTTCAGTTGAAAATTGTCGACGGTTTGCTGAAAATCAAACTCGCAACAGCTAAATCAATTGCAATCGATCATTTGATTTGCATTTTAACAAAACATTTTCCACACATTAAACACAAGTTATCCGACTTTAGAATGTATTGAAGCCAACCAAGTTAATAAACGTGTACACATATGTGTCAAGGCGTCTGTGCATACCTCTCGGAAAGTCCATAACCTTACATAATCGCGAAAGGGCGACTCAAAGCGACAGGAAGTGGAAGCGATCGCCATGGGCATACCTGACATACGTCAGCTGGTCACACTGGAATTTGAGGTTTTCGGACATGTGCAAGGTTAAGAGTTAATTTTTATTTAGTTAAACCCCATGCCCGTCGCCCGTCGCCCGTCACCCGCCGCCTGTCGCATTTGCTATCACCACGGGCTAAAAATAAATCTTGCACAGTAGCTCGGCATTTTATGTCCTTGGCTTTGTTTCGTATATGCAGTAAGCGAAATGCAAAGTAATTATAGCAGAGAATGTTTGTGTAATCGGCAGGCTTAAATCTCACGAAAGACACGCGTGACCGTTGCACCAAAGCAGGAATCACAGGTTGGGTCAAGAACAGCAAGCGCGGCACCATTGTCGGCAAAATGCAGGGCCCCAAAACGGAGGTAGACAAAATGTATGTTACATGCTAATTGCTTATGCTGCTACTTAACTAATGCTTAATATTAATTATAAATTATAGGATAACCTGGCTGTCCAGCGAGGGCTCACCAGGCTGTCAGATCGAGCGATGCGAGCTGCGAAATCAAAGCAATTTAAATCGACTGGATTACAAAGACTTTGCAATTCGATTTTAAATGTTGTTGTCCCATGTCTATAGTCTTTTTTTCTTTTGTGTTTGTTTTGTGCACTATTTCGATAAGTTACTAGAAACCATTTAATAAATGATTTTTATCCCGACATGGCAGCCAGCTTGAATTGGGGCTCAAAAGAAAGCACAGCGCAATTCACATACGAATTGAAGTATATTTGGTTATCGGTTTCTCAATACAGCAGAGCTACACACTTTATAGCACAAACATTTGCATGTCTTATACTATTCCGGCCAGACCTAGAGCTTCTTGCTCAGCACGACTGGAAACGGCCGGCGGCCTTCATACGCTCAAAAGATTTGTTGGCGTCATATTTCCTGTAAATAAAATGCGTGTTAGTCAAGGCGAAACCATGTTATTGATTTTGAATACACACTGGTAGAACTCAGCGTAGGCAGCTTTCTTTGGATCATTGACCAAAACCTTAAAGGCAACTGTCACAATTGCAGTTAGTCCAAGAGCCACAGCCAGATTGCGCTTTATGGTCGCATTGTGCAGGCCGCGCAGCACGGGGCCGGCGCTGCTGGAGGTTGCTGGAGTGTTGGCCATATTATTGTTGGACTGTAAATCAAATTTTCACTGGTCAGTTGTTATGTAACTTAATTGTACAGCAAATGCTATTGCGAAAAATTCAATAAGCAAACACTCAATTCGGTTACTAAATTTGAAATGAATTATTTACGCTATACTTCGTACTGTTGCAAGATATTAATACTGTAAAGATATTACTGAACTTTTTATTTTACTCACATTTGCAGATTATTCACTATTAATGCTGCCACTCTAATCAAATATTCTGTAAGGTTGCCACATTACACAAATTGTTTTTTTTGGGGTGGCCACACTATGATAATGTTGCGATTCGATTGTCGTAGGTACCTGCTACTTAGTGTGCGTTATATATTTATTCAAATATCGCATACCGATATTTCCCTTTTCGCTTTGAAATTAGAACAGTGCCAATTTTAGTTTATTTTTTCGACACAAATATTCGGAATCGAAATTTTAAAAAATACTAAATTCTCGACAGATACCCATTTTGTAATTTTAAAATATTCTATTCCTGGTATAAACTCATTTATAGACTGAGATAATTTTAGAGATTTTTTTTTAAAATAATTTTCCATAAATAATTTGAATTCTAGAGTTTTTAATAGTAATTTTACAGAATATAGAGTCAAGACGATAAATTGTATGAGAAACATTATTAGACAATATTTTTTTAAGTTGGAAACACTGAGTGCTATGTGCTGGCATTTTTAGTATGTCTTGTTGACAAATATTAGGTAAACACTGACTGGAAAATAAAAATGGCTACCACTAAGGCGAATGCAAATGGCGGTTGTTATTGTTCGTGGAATTTCAATAATTACGAAGATTTTTTTACAAAATAAACAACAAAAACACTACGCTAAAGAAATACCAATAAGCTTAAAATCAATTAATAATATTCTGTTGACTGCTTGTATAACTATAAACATTGTATCCGTTCGTAGGTTGTCTTAATCAACACCACAAACTTTGTTCAATCGAAAATTGTGACAAGAAAAATAATCGGAGTGAAAAGCAATATTATTATTTTAAATGCATAGAAAAAAACAACTGTGACACCAAAATATTTCACTACAAGCTGTGAAAAGTGCATTACTTATTTTTTCAAAAACGAATGCTTGCAATTTCATGCAGTTAGCTGCTTTTCAAAAGATTGGAAAAATCAAATCAAAAGCAAATCAGCCAGTGCCAGCAGAGGAGCGCCCAATTACTGGACGCCTTCACCCACACTCCACGTTGTCTTAAATCGGGGAAAAATGCGTCGGAAACAGAAGATGTGCATGTGTTAACTTAAATTAAGTTAAATAACAGGCTAACGCAGAGCTCCTGAGGGGAAAAAAAAACACATATGCATGGGTGGATGCAAACAAGCAGCAAAAGTGCAGATAAAGACCAAAATAAAAACCAAACAGCAATTTAGTTGGTGCATACCGTGGAGCAAAAACAATTTTAAGTGCGTGCGAGCGGGGCAATAATGTTAGGACGTGTGTTTTTGTGTCATATTCTGTGAAATTAACAAGCTTACAATAGTAGAAAATGCGTGCAGTGCAAACATGCAATTGTTTAAATGCAAAGAACGAAACAATGCGCGTCTTATAGTTTGGAAAACAAAAACGAATTTATTAATTGGCCACGATGATGGTATCGATACACATTCGTGATTATAGTAATAGAAACAGCAAGAATTGTGTGCGCTTGTACTAAATGCTAAATTTGTACAACACTTTGCCAATTAAATCTACGACGGGTTCGATTGCCGTGTGATGATATGCCACTTAAACAGGTGAGTACATTATGTGCATTATGCGTTAATGCAATTGTGTGTCCCTTGTCACTTTCTTCTATCGTTTTTGATGGTTTTCATGATTTTGGTTTCCGTTTGCCGCATTCAGCTTTGCGCAAACAGCTGATTCGCGACTTCTGCATTTTCATTCAAGAATTTAGAGGTGGAGGGGTCGTGTTTGCTTATTAAAAACTTGCGTCACCCACGCTGTTTTCATTTACATCAGAAAACCGTTTTCGAACGTGTCATCCGTTAAATGCACCTGTGTGCGTATGGCACTATATTTTTTGTGGGATTTTAATAAATGGAAATAAGGAACGAAGGTGACCACAGCAGTGTTTTGGTTACCAATTCCTTCCCCTCTGGCACCAACCCTTTCCAGAGCCTTAAGAAAAATGGCGACGAGATATCGATAACGTACGTATGTCGAAAATGAGAACGTGAGCAACCTCTCACCAGGGGGCTTTTGCATATTGCTTTATTTGTGCATTTGACGTATCGTAGGTATGACACAATGTAGTACACTGTTTTATTTTATAATACAACATAGGTGGCCAGATATGAATTAATATCCATATATTTCTGTTGTAATAAATTGTTGTTGGAATTTCCAACAGGCCTATATAACCATCTCGCTCGCACGCTACACGAAGTACGAGCACAAAACAGAAACGTCAAAATGTTTAATTGTTTTTTTTTTTTTTTTTTTGTTGGTAGTTTTTCTGTCCATGTCTGGCTCAATAATTACCATGAACAGAATTGTTCTATTATTTAAGAGTGAATTAAAATTAGAATCCGTTTTATAACAATTTGATTGCCTACTGGGTACATACACACAACATATATTTTGTGGCTATTACGGCAGGGCTGCATGTGCAAGCTCAGTTTTCGATAGACGATAAATGTTGGCATATCGTTCTGTTGTACATCACTAGGAATATCATTGCCTCCTGCTTCCTTAAATGTATAGAATTTGCAATGCATTTATTAACTGAACTCTCTCACTTGCAGCAGCTTGAACCGTCTGTGCGGATATCGGTGTCTCTCCCCTGGGATGCAGCACAACGACTGCGTCAACTGGCCGTCGAGGGCAATCCCACCCTGCGTGCGCTCGGGATTCTTTCCGTGCAGCCTGAAGGCGATTCTGTGATAGCTTTAAATGTTGGAGGACAAGATATTAAAATAACAAAAGGTAGGTATTATCCAATAACGTTTAGATATAAAAGCTCCTTTCTTTTTAATACGTTTGTTGAACTTTAATTTGTAGATACTTTAAAAGATGTCGCAATCGGTGCAATTGAGGCGGCTGGCACGTCTTCCAACAAAGCCGCCCTCAATGTTGGCGTTGGCGTTGGCAATTCGGCGGCGACGCCTCTGGCGGCGCCCACCTTCGATGGTCCCAGTACAAGCAAAGCAGCATATACACAACATCAGCGAATCACGCAACTGACGCAAAACGATGCAATCTCTAGCCAGCAGCAATTACATCAGCATCGGCGAAATGTGCTAACGCAGCAGAAACTAATTCAACAGTCATTGCCGCCGCAGACACCATCCTCGCCGTACAGTAATGCAAATACGACGCCGCCTGTTTTCAAGTCCCCCAACACAGTGTGTCCCATGGAAGGCAAAGTGCCGTTGCTGCCCTCACCTGCAGGCACGCTTAATGTGCCAAGAGATTTCCCGTTCGAAAGTATGCGGCAGGCACGTGTCCTGCAGGGCAGGGATACAGCAACCACAGCTAGCATAAATGCGCTGGGCCCACCGCCGCCACCCCCCATTGCGACTCTCAATCTGTTAAATAATCAAACAACGCAGAACGGCGAGGTTATTGCAACAACAATTCTTGCGGGAACCTCCAATAAATCTCAGTTCGTAAATCCGCCTCCACCATATCCCGGTCTAGGTCCAAGTTCGAGTTTGACTACACCTAACAATAGCAATTCGGCAGTTGTTGCACCAAGCGCGAAGCCAGCACAGACTTATATGACGACATCTTCATCTGCAGCACCAGCGCCTACAACTACGTTGTCGGGCAGCAATAACATAGCAATATCATCCCCACTGTTGGTCAACCTGCTGCAAAACGACGGCAATGCAATTTCAAGTCAAATGAAGTCGCCCCAGTTGGCGGCGCCAACAACTCCGCAGTCACCAATAGTTAGCATGAGTCCAAGCACACAAATGATGAACTCCAGCTCGCCAATGCGGTGCTCCCCAGCCACTCCTAGCGATTTTGTTATGGGAACAACAGGTGCACCTCTCGACATTGGAAACGTGCCTAGTCCGGTGGTGCCCTCCTCTCCAACCGGTGTCGGGCCCGTATTAATGCGCAACCTGCCAAACCAACACCAACAACAACAGCAACAACAACAGCAGCAGCAGCAGCAGCAGCTGCTCCTCAGTCCTAGTGGTAATGCGAATCTGTATAATCAGGGGCCCCCACCACATCGATTTCAGCATGCGGTTGCATTGCGTCACCAGCAGCAACAGGTACATCAACAGCGCCATCATCAGATGCAGGGTATACATCCACGATTTATGCCACCCCAGCAGCAACAGCAGCAGCAGTTTATTGGGCAGCAACAGACTGGTAAGCAAGTGGACAGAAGTGGAATCAATCAGTTTATAAAACTTATACTTTTACTCACACAGATTGCTTCAATAATCAAGGCCTGCAACAATCGCAGCAGCAGCAGCAGTTGAGGCAACAGCAAATACGATCCGGTCTACCGCCGCCGCCCCCACAGCAACATCAGCGACTTATGAGCATGCCGTTGTCCTCGCCTCAGACGCAGCAGTTTATGTCTCATGGCGGCGCATCGCCCATTGCCCATTCACCTGCATCCAGCCATCACTCAATGCACAGTCCGCTGATGGCTAACCATCAGCCTCCTTCGTCAATGCTTTCGCCTTCGACGACGCCGAAAAGTCCACATTCACATCAGCTGACGCAGCTTCAACAAAAGCAAAAGGAGATGCAGCCCATTTCTAATATGCAACATGCTCACCTAGTACCTGTAGCGGGCGCGGGCAATGCGCAGCTGCCACCGCCTCCCGACTACAATCAGGCGGCGGCGAATTCGCGCTGGCCCGCGCTTAATAAGCCGATGGATTCGGTTACTAAAATTAGTTTTCAGGAGTTCACGCGCTACCAGATGCAATACAATCTACAGCAACAACAAATCAACAACGGTCCAGCGCAGACTGCAACGGCATCTAATACGGCAGAAATGGTGCCACCTGGAACGATAGCACTGACAGCGACCGGACAACGGCAGCATCAACAGCTACCAATACCAATCCAGCAATTAGGTGTACAGGAAGCGCAGAATGTTACGAACATTACAGCCGTTGGTCATGGCCTAAATGATCCATTGATTTCGTTGTCCGACCTCGACGCCTTAACGACCAACGACTTGGACGCTTTATTGCCAACTTTAAACTGTGATCTAGACTCAACGCTGAGCCTTGAGGATAAGAACGAGCTCGAATCATTGCTTCAGGAT